TTTGGGGGCTCCCTGTTATAATTATTGTATACAGGAACCCAAAACCCTATTCTAATCCCCTATATTACCAAGGTGATGGGCTCCGAGGCACCGGACAAGCAACTCTTGTTTTCAGGGCTTCCGAAAGGAATATCAAAGAGCTGTGTGGGTTTAGGGTATAGCGGAGTCGTCCCGGGTTTGGTGAAGTTTGGTGTGTAGCTAAAAGAGTGGTTTTCAAAAGGGGGCACGAGACATGCTGGGGGAACACTTTCGGGTTTTAACCCTGAGCCCTAAATCCTAAACCCTAAACCTACACCCTAAATCCTAAACCCTAAACCCTAAACAAATTAGGGTAATGGGGCAGGGTGCAGGGGCAGATCCGGCATGTTCCAGACGCTTCTCGGTGGCCATTGAAGGCGGTGCCTAGTGGCCCACGAGTTTAGGATAGATAAATATTTTCTGGTGGAATATATGTATATATATATATATATATAATGTTATGAAATAGAGTAAAATATATGATATTATGGGTTTAGGGTTCGGTTTATGTAGGGTTTAGGGGACCAGGAGGCGCTTCCAGTTCGGCAACACAACCTGGGGACGAAAATGGGGTAGCCAACGGCCCCGATGCTAGGGACATCCGGTTTAACTACGAGTTCAGGGTTGGGTTAAGGGTTTGGGGGTTTAGGGTTTAGGGCAGGGACACTCGGGTAGATGTGCATATGTATATACATATATATATATATATATACACATGTGTATATATAAAAACATTTTACACAGACATATGCATACAAATTCACATACACCGACACATACACATACGCATGCAATACACAGATGCCGAATCTTATTGCCGATATATGCATCGTAGAGAAAGGGTGTGGAGTCTGCCTCATCGCACATCGGTGGCTTTTTCATGGCTCAGGCTGGGGTTGACATCTGCGCTTAGCACATGGGGTTTGGGAGTTAGGTGTTTTTAGGGTTTAGGGTTTAGGGGTTTAGGGTTCCTGAAGAAGCCGAGTCAACAGGGCGTTTGGAGCTCTTATACACGCGGATGTTTGCAAGCAGGCAGGTACCACGACCGTTGTTACTGAAATTGTGTCGGAAACTCTGCACAGACGAGGCCTCAGATCAGTACGGGATAAGGATCCCCGTAACTTCTTATTGGCCTTCTACATTCCTTATAGAAACCTTATAGAAATCCCTATAGATCCCTTTAAGGAACCCTAAAAGGTAAGGAACCCTAAAAGGGACCCGATTTCTTGTGCACAGGTGGAGAGGCATGTAGACACACTTCAGGGGGTATGAGGTGTGGGTGCTTATTAAACATACGGGGGCTCAATCTCAAGAGTTGCGGTTTTTGCTTACCAAATCCTCCACAAGAGCCCTCCTCAGCGGAAATGAGACGTAGCAAGGTAAGGCTTTGACAGTTTGGGGTGTGACGGTGTCAATTGGGGTGTGGGGATTTGTGGGATTAGACCATCAGGTGTGCCCCCGACTGCAATTGCCCCTTTTGCGCCTGGAGGTGGAACAAAACCATCTTCGAGAGATCTTAGACATCGACAGCTCGTTCGACTTTGTGCTTTCCTGAGCTGGTTTTAGGCTTTATTGGGGTATTCGGATGTCGGCTTTAGGGTTAAGCGACCTGGAGGTACGGGCGCAGGGGTTTGTGCCTTTCTTGTGCTTCGAGCCGCAGACGGCACTAGTGTCTACAATATCGGATATAATAGGTGGACAAACAGCTACTGATGCCACTGCTGCGCTGCTGCTGATGCTGCTACTACTACTACTACTACTACTATTACTACTACTACTACTACTACTACTACTACTACTACTGGAGACTACTACTACGACTACTACTACTACTACTACTACTACTTCTACTACCACCACTATTCTTAATCATAACAATAACAATAACAATAACAATAACAATAACAATACTCATACCAATAATACTACCACTACCAGGCACGACGCAATTCATTTGCCGTGCAGGAGGCGGTGAAAGATGCAATTGTGGAAGCTCTGTGCGTGGACATGGACAGATTGCCGACGTAAAAAAAAAAATGCGGTGTCGATCGGGGTTATTTTATCACATTCTCGAGCTCTGGAAAGGGTTGGCAAGCAAGTAGTACGTGGAGTGGAAGCCCTACTGTGCGAACATGTTTGCTCTTCCGATCCCGGCGATACTGCTTTTCACGGCGGCGGCAACGTGTGAGGCCATCGCAATGCTTTGCTTATCTTGAACAGTCGGCCGCCAATGGAACTCTGAGTCCAGAGCCTCTACTTGAATGAGTGCACTCTGCAGCAGCAGCAACTATAGTGGCAACAGCAGCGGCAGTCCCGCAGTGGTAATAGTTGCACTGGGCCCTGCTTCGTAGTGGAAGCACGCACTGCAGAAGCAGAAACAGCACCGGGCCCCTTTGCTACAATGACATGAACGCCATTAGCCTCCACTCCCCACCCAACACAGAGCAAAAGCAGCCACAATATCAGCTGCAGCAGTCCCGCAGTGGTAATCGGTGCGCAGGAACCCCAGTCCGAAAGCATCCTGAATTCCGTGTCTCAGTACACTGTTGAAAAACCAAGAACGTACATGTTATCAACCAGGTTTCTCGAAATGCGAAACCCTGAACCTTCCACCTCCAGCCCTAGACCCTGTAATCCTGAGGCGCAAATCCAAAAAGCCTAAGCCGTGAAAAGACGGAACTCGGAAAGCCGCCATGTAAAGCTCACGAAAGAAAGACCTTTCGGTCTTATGGTTCTCCTGCAAGCTCCCTGCGCAATATGACCTTGGAGTGTTGCCCAGGTCAGAGACCCTGGAAACGTGCCGCATGAGGGCCCCAGGCGAAAATAGAAGCGCCCCGAGTGGGCCTTAGGGTTCAGGCTTTAGGGTTGAAGGCTTAGGGCTTAAGGTCTGGAGTTCTGGGGGGTGCCTCAGTACAACGGGGACCCTTGTTGTGATTCCAAACGAGAGTCCGCTTCTTTGGTGGAAACCGAAGCCATAAAGTTTCATGCTTCGGAGGCCCAGGGATGGCTTACATCTGCATAACATCTGCAACATCTGTATACCGATTTACATCTATATCTATACTTATAGCCCATCTATATCTATACTTATACCCGTGACCTGCACTTATATCTAGTTCGTGCTGTATCTATATCCACATCTGTATCTAGGTCGATATCTAGGTTTATACGTATGGCTATACCCATTTCTACATCTACGTAGAATATCTAAACAGAGACTTATGCACGAGTGCATGTACTTGTAGGTGTAAATGTACGAGAGAATGTCTGTGTGGGGTGGGGACTTTCAGAAATACTGGTGGCCAAAGAAGGAGGGTACCATGTTCGTAGGATCTATAGAGAGCGCTTACACTAGAAGCCCAAAAGTTGGAAACCCAATAGCCCCAATCCTTACGAGTATAGGCAAACCCCGCACCAATTGTCCTTAATCCGGTTTCCAACTTTTTGGGGCGTACCTATACTTTTATCTGTGCATTGGTTGTTGTTGGTTTGTTTTCTGGGAAGCAGGCCCTACATGCTTGCGGGCTTCCGGAATGCCCTCCTGGATCACGTGCTTGAGCCGCTTGTCCAAAGCACCATTGCCTCGCTGTTAATATCCTGGCGCATAACGCCTGTCTAAGGATTCTCTTCAGGGGGTCATCAGAGTTTATGTGCAAGACTAGAATGGGGTTTTATAGCGGTATTGCAAGGGATTAGGGTCTACATGGATCTGCTGCCCTAAACCCTAAACCCTAAACCCTAAACCCTAAACCCTAAACCTGGCACTTGGAGTGGAAGGTCAGAGTTCGACGTTCAGGCTTGTTAGTTTGCCTTGATGAGCAGGACATTCTCCAAAAGGCTCAGAGCCTACAGTCTGAGACCTAATATAGGGGCCTCAACTCTTACCTATATTATTTTGGGGGCGTCCTTATGATAGCTATACTATAAAGGACCCCCAAAACCCTATTCTAATTATTAAGGCCCCTACATTAAGCCCTTATAGAACTCTTATAATAACCCTTATAGTAACCCTTTAGAGGAGCCCGACTCTAATTATTAAGGCCCCTACATTAAACCCTTATAGAATTCTTATAATAACCCTTATAGTAACCCTTTAAAGGAGCCCCACTCTAATTATTAAGGCCCCTACATTAAGGTGGAGGGAGAGCATCGAAGGCTTCGAAAGCCGACCTCACTAAACCTTTCAGCCCGTCAAGGCCACCACCAGGAAACCCTAAACCCTAAACCCTAAACTCTAAACCCTAAACCCTAAACCCTAAACCCTAAAGCCGCGAACCTTCCCCTTCAGATCTTACGCTGCACCCAAAGAGCAACTGCAGATTTGAACGGCAGCTTTTCGGATTATAGACGCACTTGGATCTTCTCGAGCCCATCTTGCCGATTCTTAGGTTATAAGGGTTTAGGGGTTTAGGGTTTAGGGTTTAGGGTTTAGGGAGCGTTTAGGGTTGTGGCCTGGGGTTTCGAGTCAGGGTTTAGGGTTTAGGGACATCATTGCACCGTGGGCAACCACTGTGTTTTCGGAGTTTCTTCAACGGGCTATGCCCTTGTTTGATTGGCCCATGCAAACGAAACCAGAACGGCATTAGTTAGGAGAGACAGGAAGCCTTATATAATCTTGATACAGCCGTCATGGAAACCCTGTAACCTAGAACGCAAACAGGAAGCCCCCAATAGAACCTCATAGAACCCTGGTACAATCTAAACCGATACCGATTATAGACCCCGCCCTGTACAACCCAAAATGAAAGCCTCATAGACCCTTTATGAGGCCCTTATGGAACCACTATGAGCCCCTTATACAACCCACAAGTTATAAACGCGTTACAAAAACCCAGAAAGGAAGCTATAACAGCTTTACCCTAAACCCTAAACCCCTGGACCCTAAACCCTAAACCCACAAAGGAAGCAGTGGGATTATCTCATCGTGGCCGACTTGGACAACACGGTGAAGTGGGACGACCAGACCTTTGGCGTGGTGTTGAATGCTCTGGGCAAAGAGGAGCCACAAGAGAGGTTTTTAGGTTTCGGCTTTGGGGTTTAGGGTGTGTTCAGGTGTTGGTGTTTAGGGTAGTTTAGGAATGGAAACAGAGGTATTGGCCCTAAACCCAAGCCCAAACCCTGCATGCTAAAGCCCGGAACTAAAGTGTGCGCATGTAGGGCTTAGTGGATCTCAACTCCCAGCAAGGTACTCATCGAGCTCGCTTGAAACCTTATCTCCCAAAGCCAGTGTACACCAGCCTCAACAAGGAGGCACAGTAGATGTAGTATACCACCTTTGCAGCGTCCTTGGTCCCCTGTACCCTAAACTCAAAGACACCTCAACACTTAATCAAACCCTAAACCCTAAAACCACCTATACTCATCCATAATCTAAGTTTCAGGATTGTCCTTTGTGTGTTCATCTCTCACCGACGATCGTGAGTCCGTGCCGGTTTCGCATAAGCCTTGCGACTTCAGGCTTAAGGTCTCGGGGCTCAAAGGGCTGAGGTTAGCGGGATTGCATCTTGAGAGCCCTTAATCCTGAACTCGAGGTTTGGGCTGTAGACGATAGGCTTGAGAAAAGTGTGAAAATAGAATCTTAGACCGTAGATGCTGAACCCGAAACCCTGAGCCCAAACAAAAACTGACCCAGGAAAACGAGCCCTAAACCCCTAAATCCTAACTCCTAAACCCTAAACCCCTAAATCCTAACTCCTAAACCCTGAACCCTAAATCCTAAGTCCTAAACCCTAAACCCTGAACCTTCAACCTTCAAGCATAGGCTTTAGGTGCTCTGGGCAGGATCAATGGGACGCCTTGGCTTTCTCCAGCACCCGAGCACGGATTTGAGGGTGGTTCGGGTATAGGGTTTAGGGTTTGGCTTGGGAGTGTGGCTTTGGAGCTCTATATTCAGGTTTGGAGTCAAAGGAGGGCACCCGAACATCTAAGGCGTAAGCCCAGCAAAGCTCAGGCACCAACTACTACGACTGGTGGGCAGCTCGCTGTGAGCCCTGGCTTTGGGTTTTAGGATTTAGGGGCGTTTAGGGGGCTTTTGGAGAGAGGAGGTCAGAGAACGCAACCACAGGTGGGTGGTGAATTGTTGAACCCATGAAAAGAAAGGGGTAAAAATTGTGAAACCCATGGAATAAAAAGCTGCTTAGGCTTGTTGAAACGAGGCTGAGGCGATTCCAACCCTCCGGTAGAAGTCCACCAATGTCACCCCCAGTGCTTGCAGTACGGGCGTGTTTGCTCTTGCCATCCACCACCATCGGAAATGGCAAACTCAGCAGCTGTTCTGAACGCGTCGACCTCAAGAAATAGCTGGCCCCAACTACCAAACCCACTGCATTCTGAGCTGACAAGCATTCAAAGGCTGGTGAGTTTCGAAATCCCAAGCCCGTTGCGATTCAATGCTGTACAACGTCTTTAAGACCTTTGGCCCAGAAGCCTACCAGTTCCATCCTCAATACTTTAAAACCTCATTCCAACTCTTTCGGTCGCTTGAAATATGCCAGACCGCAAAGAACCGAACCCTGCATCCCGGACCATGAGAACTCTCTAGGCCCTTTTCCTGCGCCTTCTTCAGGACAGCAGCTCGAAGAACTGCCTCTCTCACAAAGTCTGCCTCGACCGTAGTGAGTTCCCGTGCATTATGGAGACGCTGCAGGACTGGAGGTTCAGGCTTCCGGGCTGTAGTAGTTACGAGTTGTCGGGAATCGAGGAACTCGGTTTTGCAACGATGTCTTCAAGCACATTAGTATGACGATGATCCTCAAGATGAGCTTTAGCCACTTGCCGCCATTGCTGTGCTTTTGTCACAGCTCTGTTTGTCGTGGGACGAAGTCGTGAATTGACGTTAATTGATGTTGACCATGATGTTAACTGCTCCCTGTACCACTGTTGCAACTTTGATGCTGAGATATGCTCGTCGAGCTCCTGGCACCTAGGCTTCAATGTCTTCGCTGCCCAACCTTAAACCCTAAACCCTAAAAAACACTCTGGGCTTTCGGTTCAGGATTGGGAAGTCTTGGTCTGACAGTCAGGCCTCACAGCAAAAAAAGCTCCAAAGCGCAATTACCTACCGTGGTGTAATATAGGGGCCTTCATGATTACCTATACATTTTTTTTTGGGGGGGGGCTCCTTACTATTAGTTGTTGTAGTATAATGTATCCCGAAACCCTACTCCAATTATTCAGGTCCCTCTATGAAGCCCTCAACCTTGCACGCTAAATCCCGCTGTCATATAGCAACAGCAACCTTTCCGTCGAGCAAGCCTGTGGCGTTCTCTCCCTTTTGCATTCTCGAAGAGCACATGATACACTCGGACTAGGATTTAGGGTGAGGTTTACAGCAGGGTTACAGCTATAGGCATCCAATCCGAAAACATGTTCCTGAATCCAGTCGTGTTCAATGCATCTCAGTTTTGAGGCGCCTGAGTTTCAAGCTTATTGTAAGTTCACCACAAAGCCTAAATCCCTGGTCTGATCCTTAAGGCCTTGATAAACCCTAAACCCTAAACCCCTATCCCACAGGACAGCGACACGGACCACTTCCGCCCAGTCCGATCTGCCTTCAATGGCTTGGCAGTCTACAAAAGAGATGCTATAGGAGCCGAGGGTTTGAAGTTTTGGGCTTTAGGGTTTGGAGGTTTTAGGGTATAGGGTTTCAGGGTTTCAGGGTTTCAGGGTTTCAGGGTTTAGGGTGGGTCGATGCTTCATGGCTTCTTGATGGCTGAAAGCTTTGTGGTGCAGATTTGGCTATGCTCGGGGGTCAATTCCAGCTTGGTGCTTGGGGATTGCTTCAGCGGTTTCGTTACTTTTCATGCGCCCCCTCGGTAGACGTGACCCCCAGGCACTCGGCTCGATTTTTTTCCCGGAAGCCCTTGAACCATAAACCCCAACGGCCACAAGTCGAGGCGCTCAGGCCATACAAGGGCCTTGAAACTTTACCCAGCACTTGACATCCCTAAATCGCATGATTTTCGTTTATGTAACTGGGTCCGATTTTTCAGTGTGGAGTGGGTGCACACATTGAAAGCTTTGCAGATTTAGCCTAGTGTGTTGGAGCTCAGCAGTAGCAGGAGTAGTAGTAGTAGTAGTAGTAGTAGTAGTAGGAGCAGCAGTCGTAGTAGTAGTAGTAGTAGTAGTAGTAGTAGGCGCCCCCCCACCAACTACACTTGCTCTAAACCGTATTAAGAGCACATCCGCTTTACTCGGTATTTACAGCACTTTCGTCATGTACGATCATCATAAGAAGCCTCAAAATCGACTTGCCGAGCTTGCAAACTCGGCCTCTTGATTTTAGACTTGCTTCTGGGGGGGGTGGATGGGGCGGGGGGGGATGATGACGACAATGTTACGCAAACACAACCAACAATATCACCACAAGAGCCGTTTTACTCGGTATTTACAGTGCTTTCGTGATGCCGCGCTTTCTTATATAGTTGCCACCCCTACTTCTGGACTGTGCGTCTTGAACTTTGGTGTCGAACGGCTTGCAGCGAAAACTCCGCTTTTCCTCGGTATTTGCAATACTTTTGGTGATGTTGGTGATGAGAGGTGATGACATGTGTCTCATTGTTCGTGATATTGGTGATGAAATGTGTTTGTTTTTTGGTGATGTTGGTGATGAAACGTGTTTGCTTTTCCGTGAGCACACAACCCCGCTTTTACTCCGTATTTACAGTACTTTTGGTGAAGTTGGTGATGAAAGGGGATGAAATGTGCTTGATTTTCGTGATGTTGGTGAACGTGCTTGTTTTTTCGTGATGTTGGTCGTGATGATGTTGATCACAATGACGAAGTGTAGTTGGTACAGGGGGTGGCTACTAGTAGTAGTTGTAGTAGTAGTAGTAGCAGCAGAAGAAGTAGTAGTAGGAGTAGTAGTAGTGGTGGTAGTAGTAGTAGTAGTTGTTGTTGTAATAGTTATGGTTGCTGTTGTTGTAGTCGTTGTAGTAGTTGTAGTAGTTGTGGTAGTTGTAGTTGTAGTAGTAGTTCTGGTTGTTGTAGTAGTAGTTGTAGTTGTAGTTGTTGTTGTTGTTCTAGTAGTAGTAGAAGTAGTAGTAGAAGTAGTAGTAGTAGTCGTCGTCGTCGTCGTCGTCGTAGCAGTAGGAGTAGGCGTAGACGTAGAAGTAGGTGTAGGAGTAGGAGTGGCAATAGCACCACTATTACCACTACCCCTATCACCACTACTACTACGCCTACTACTACGACGACGACGACGACTTCTACTACCCTTACTACCACCACTACCACGACGACGACGACGACGGCGGCTACGACTACTACCGCCACCAGCCCAATCCCGGGGCTATCCTCGGTTGCACGGAAATCTTTGAATTCCTGGCTGCTATATACTATTGGGTTTTGAACGAACGGCTTGGCACGCGGATACTGTGTAGAACATTGAAGAACCCTGAGCTGAGATTAAAATAAGACTTTCGTCGTCAAAGCCTTTACACTCTGAGGGTTTAGGGTTTAAGGTTTACAGCATGTAGATCCCACGTTCTTGCTGTGGATTGCAATTGGATCCTACGATCAAGACCCGTCCGTTTGACTCGCCCCGATATCCTCTAATTGCCGGCTCATCATAAGAAACCCGGATAATGCCTGGAAAAGTCTTAAGTCAAAGGGTTCTGGAGCGTTTGAAGCTGGGCCTTCTGCCTTAAATCCGGAGGTCAAACCCAAGAAACTAATTTTGGGGGTTTTGGGGCTGTAGGGTTTCAAGTCTTAAAGTGTTTCGGGTTTAGGAGTCTTCGGGACTTTAGCTTTGGGAAGGAATGTAGGGTTCCTTGCAGACGGAGGTCGAAAGGTCTTGCTTCCCAGGAGATTGCAAGTACGATGCGAAGAACCGTGATACCACCGCGCGAAGTCACAAGGACTGCTCTTTAGTTGGCTTTGGCTTTCGGCAACCACCATCCTGGAAATTAGGGTTATGACTTGCTAGGGTTATGACTAACGTGATGAATCTTAGCAGGTCCTTTGACTCTTGGTCTTGTCATTATACATTTTGGTCCACGGTCTGTGTATGCATGCATGTATGTGTGTATGTGATTGCAAAGAAAGGCAAGGCAAGGCAATGTAAAGAAACGTAACGTAACGTGCCGTAACAAAGGTAATGCAGTTTGATGCCGTGCAATGTAATGTCCTGTAATGCAATGTGCAGTATCGTAGCGTAATATAATGTAATGTAGTGTAATGTAATGTGTGCATGTTTGTAACATACGTAAACCACTTACGGTGCTATCGTTTGGGGGAACTGAGATTTCGTGTTTCGTTTGCTTTTCGGCCGCGAAAGAAAGGCCCCTCAATCCCGGCATGTCCTCTTCAGACCCTGCCCAAAGCCCTGACCCCCTCAACCGGCCCCGTTGAGGGAGGTGTAGGGTTTCGAAAACACCGCCATTGAAGTGTCTCAAGCTTCCGCAAATGATGTCACAGGAGAGCAGCCTCGTCAGCGCATGTACAGTAGAGGTTGGAAGGAGCCCAGGGCTACACATCATGTATGTATGTATGTATGTATGTATGTATGTATGTATGTATGTATACATATGTATACATGTATATGTAATTATGTATAATATGTGTATACATACCGTATGTATACCATAGTATACGACATACTTCCCGTCGCCAGGTCAATTCATCTAATTTCAGTCCGCTAAATCTTTATAGAACTACGGACCCATACGAATCCAAGAAGCCGTATGAACAAGCCAACCCGCTCCCACTCCCAGGACTGTGAGCACGTGGGCTTCCATGATTGCATGACCGCAAACGGGGCACGCTTCATGCTGAACTCTGGCAGGCACCGCAGTTTAGAGTTCAGAGTCTAGGGCTTAGGGTCAGAGTTTGGGATGTAGAGTTTAGGATTAGGCATTTACGGTGAACTCAGGGTTTGGGATTTAGACAATTGAGCTAGCACAAATCCACACCTGGACGACTTTGTCGTATACAACACCACAAATTCGCAATCCTTTAGCATCGTGCAACCCACCAGGAACATGACGTCTTGTTTGACTGCCGGTCCTACAAAGGCAGCGTAACAGCATAGGTGGCGCTGCAGTCATGCTTTTCAGCAATCAGAGGTCACATGGTTCATGAAGTAACACTCACTTTCCAGCTGAAGTAGCTAGATGTTGGCAGGGACTCCCTAATTTTGCGGCAACATGGGGGTGTTTGGGTGAGGGCGTGTTCGTTGCTTAAAAAACCGAACACCTGGGACTCGGGAACACATACAAGCTGTTTGAAGCGCCTTGCCGAGCGTCTCCAAATCCCGAACTGAAAAACCTTCAACCCCAAACCCTAAAGGCCCTAAACCTTAAATGCCTGCTAGGCACCCTCCAATTCCTAAAGCCTACTTAAATCCCACATCCCACGCGCTAAACTCCGTGCGACCTAAAACTCCCTGCTCACACCCGTACGCCTACGCCAGAAGTTTCAAGTAGGATTTTCGAGCCTTCCGGGACCTGAGACCCAATGTTCGAATTACGGCCCTAGACCCATTCTGTTTAGGGTTTAGGGACCCTGAATCTTCAACCCGAAGCCCCCAGCCCTAAATCCTAAAATATCCAACACTTGAAGCTGGACCCTAATTGATGTTATCTTCTTGTAGAGTGCGCAACAGGAACCTGGTAGAACACACATTGAAGCTTTGAAGACCCATTTGCAAAGCAAGTGCAAAGCCCTTTGCCCTATTGCTCTTCAGACTCCACGGCTGGTGGTCCAACCTGGGCGATGAGCCAGAAGAGGAAGAGCAGGAATGTGCGGAGTTGCGTCGAAAGGTATGTGTATGTGTCAAAACAGTATGTGCATGTGCATATATGTATGTAAGGTCGCATAATGGTATGTCGGTTTTTGTATTTAGGGATGGAACGAAGACTGTGGGATTGAGGACCGAGGTTGTTTGTCGGAGTGTTCCTGGGGTAGGGTTCCGGGTTCTTGTTTTTTGGGGGGTTCTGGACCTCGTATGTGGCATCCTTCAGGGTTGTCGCATGTTCTCAGTTGAGATGTCGGATGAAAAGCGTCTTCGGTTGATAGCCGCAGATTCTAGCAGTCTCAGACTGTCTTCTTCTGCCGATAGGTTTAAAGTTGTGGGTTTGGGCTAGTCTGTTGGGAAGAGGTCTGGTCTTTAACCCCAATGGCCCCACTGCAAGCAGCGGTAAATCAGCAATGATTTGCTCTCAGCCATCCCCAAACCTTCAAATTTGACCCCTCAGATATTAAAGACGAAGCCCCAAACAAAACCCAAGGTCCTTATAGAACCAGAATTCTTGATGAAACCTCACTCTCGAAAACATCGAACCCCTGCATCTCGTTGGGTTTGGGATCTGGCCGTCTGGCGGTTTCAAGTCAAAGGTCTTGAAGCCCCCCCCCGATCGACTGGGTTCAGGGGTTGACGGCTTGAGGGCCTAGGGTTTTACCCGGTTCCATAGCTTACGCCCCAAATTGAAGGGAACCGTTCAAGGTCTCGCTAGCTTCAAGGTGTCAACACCACAAGAACACCAGAAGAACCTCAAATCCCAATCCCGAAAATCGTTCGAACTGGTGATTCTTGCACGCTAAACGCAAAGCCGATGTGCACCGCGCCAGAACCCGAAACCCAAAACCGCA